TTCCTCTTTGTTCAAGGATGGTGAGCTAAGAGGAGCACCACGTCCTGGGGTGGGACAGGCATCAGTGCTTCCCCCCCCCCCCCCCCCCCGCAAGACTCGGAAATCGCAGGTGTGGAGACGGCGCTCACACCCCCGTTTCTCTTGTCTGTCTGGCCTGTGCAGGAGGCAGATTCATTGTAGAGAGAACTTGGGATACTGAGAACTTTAATCAGATGGTGACTCAAATTTCAGCTGCTGTTCATGGTGTAGGGTATCTTTATTGGAAAAAATCAACATAACCCCAATTCCTGTTCTAAAACCGTAGGTTTGGCAAATTCTTTACCTGTATACCGGTGTGCAAGGGTTACTAGAAGGACTCTGCTTTACCTAGCCTGACCAGCCGTATACATCACAGTCTTGCCTCTGTGTCCAAAAGACACCCTGCACTCTTTAACCTCGATTCTGTGTTGTCTCAGTCTTCCTGTTACCCCACAGCACGGCCTCCTGGCCCAGCCCGTCTGTGTCACGGCGAGTGCACTTGATAAATAGGAAGTGATCAGACCTTAGATGCTGCGGTGAGATGTTCAGAAACATTGATCGTTTAATGCCATTTTCCAAAGGCTTTCTGAGATACCCTTGGATCATGGAGCGTCCAGTCGGGGGTAAAAGGAACCATGTACTCCATTTTAGTGGAGAGACTTTACTGGGAGGAGTGGGTGGAGCAGGTCTTGGAGGACCAGGTGTGTCGGAAAGGAAGAAGGCGCTAACAGGGCTATGGCATTGACCCTGGGCGTGGAGAGCGAAGGCAAAGGCTTGGGGCTGGCAGCATGGAGGCACTTGAGGAGGGGAGCTGCTGTGGGGCCCCAGACCCCTGAGTGCACGCTGCTGCTGGCTTTTTGGGCCTTGGAGGAAGAAGCCACGGAGCCAGGACTCGGACAGGTGAAGGCTGTGGATTTTGTGACCCATCAGTCATCTCGGCTGCAGGCCACCCAGTCGCCGTCGCCTGCCCACGTGTGCTGTACGTAGTGTTAGGAAGAAATGACGACGGCCTGTTCCTGGGAGGGGAGGGCCAGCGGCGGAGCGTCCAGCAGAGGTCCCCTCGTCACTGCAGCGTCCGTCGGCAAGGTTTTTAGGGCAGCCTGCCTCCCGTGTGACTGTGCCACTTCCCTTCTCCCTCACTGACCAGCAGCCTTTGGCTCCGTGACCGTGACTGGGAAATTGGAGAAGTCGTGATAAGTGTCAGCTCTTGGGGCCAGAGCAGGGGAGGCGAGAGGGCGACTGGTGTAAGTTAGCTTTTATATTTTTAGCTGATTGGTTTGTGATACCTGGTCCCTTGTCTCCTTTCCCTCCGCCTTTTGTTTGTCTTGGTGGAAGCCTTTAACGTTCCAGGTTCCTTCCCGCTCTGTGCTAGCTCAGGGCTGCTCGTGTCCGCCAATCCCTCCTCTCACATGTCAGGACCTCTGGTGCAGGTGGCTGGGCCCTGGCCCCCAAGCCGCGCCTCTCTCTAAGGAGGCTGTTACTTGAAGCAATCCCGATGTAGGGAACTTCTCTGGCTGCGGTGTGCCCATTTGCTCCTCTTCTTAGGGAGCAAGACTGTGGGCAAGCTGAGTGTAGGGACGTCTGGACCAGGTCCTTCCCAGAGAGCGCTCTTGCGGGCAGCAGGGCAGACTGGCAGCTCCTAGAGTTCATCCACTGGGAGGTGGTCTCTCTTTCGCTTTGTCTTTCCCAGCCTGGGGTAACGCAGCCTTCCGCCCTGTCTCTCCCAGGCAAGATTCTGGGGAGTGAAGTCGTCTCCCCTGCTCCTGCCGACCGAGCACAAACCTGTGCTGCCCATATCCGAGAAGCTTTTGTAGGTTGGAGCAGGGCTGCTGTCCCCCCAAGGCTGGGGCACAGTGGCTCCGTGTTCCGCTGTCCGTCCCCACGTCCTTTGCTGGTGAGGGGTTAATCCATTGGCAGTCGCAGCCGCAAGCCTGTTGTCACCCCTGCCCTGCCCCTGGGGGCTGAAGTGACCAGCAGGAGACACAGCCACGCCCTCTGCAGCTCAGCCCAGAGCTTCCATGGCTGGGGGTGCCGTGCCTGAGCCTGACCCTCCAGCCCTCGTGCTTGAAGAACTCTTTCCATTACTAGCAAAACCTGACAGAAATCTGCGTGTGCCTACCGCGGTGTGCACAGGTGCAGTCGAAACGTAAGATGTGTTTGTCCCTGATCGGGAGGCTGTTAGCTGCCTGTGGGAACCTTGGCCGTCCCACGCTCACCAGAGACGCTTTGATGCCTGTGCAGGGGAGGCGAGTGAATTATTAGGGCAGGGTGGTAACAAAGCGTTTCAATCTGTGGAACTTGGGGAGGGAAAACGTACGATTCCTTAAAGTGGTGGGCACAGGGGCAGCCCAGGTGTTCGGATGCGGGGGCCTCACGCACAGCTCGAAGGGTTTGAATCGTGATGACTTTTCCTGCCACGTTGCTGAGTGGCGAGATAAATTCAGGGAAGCTCTGGGTGCCCACGGGAGGCACCAGTGAGTGACCCTGGGGCAATTCCAGCCGCCCACGGGGCCTCCTTATCCAGGAAGCTGTAGTGGTACTGGCCGACCCGTTTCCTCTCCCCCCACAGTGGCCTGTGCAGCTGGGGCGGGACCACGTCACCCCAGCCAGCAGGAGCCTGTCCTCCTGGCCTCGGACAGGGCAGCCCTTGTTGTTCTCCAGGCAGCTCAACAGTGGCCGGGGACGGCCCTTCCAGAAAGAGATTCGGGTAGACAACCCTTGTTTTCCAACGTAGCCTCAGTCTGGACCTGGGCGGCCAGAGGAGCAGATTCAGGGACACCTGCTGAGCAGGGCAGCCTTGGAGCCTGAGGGAAAAAGAGCAGTGGGTGTGTTTGGCGAGGTCTGCAGTGATGGCTGGCTCTCTGCAGCTGTTCCACGTGTCTTGGAATAACGCTGAAACACACACTAGGATTCTGCTACCATCTGGGGTCTCCCCATCCTTAAGGAGGGTGGTAACAGTTGGGGAGATCCAGCTGGGGTGAGCGGGTGGATTGTGTTCATTTCTGTGATACAAGTGAAGACGCAAAGGCATGGGCGCAGTTAGGGGGACCTGGATGCAGCTCCTGGCCCAGCCCTGGCTGTTGGGCCATTTGGGGAGTGAACCTGTGGATGGAAGTTCTCGTTCACCCCATGCCCCCTCCTCTGTAATTCTGAATTTGATATAAATAAATACATAAATCTAAAAAAAAAAAAATTGCCATGGCAGAAAACGTGAGACAATATGTGTGTCTGAGTCTACCAGTTATTTATAGCTTTGAAAGCGATTTCATGATAATGTTAGTCCCACAGGACTGGAGTAAACAGTTCTAATGATCTTGAATGCGTTTGTCACCATCAGTTTCTCATGGTCTAAATTATGGGGTTATAAATCCATTTTCATTTAAAGTAGCAAACAGCAGGTGGTTGTCTACATCAATAAGTAACACTGTTTGCAATACAGGATGACCTTGACACTTCGGAATTAAGCGAGGATTCAACCTTAGGAAGAGGGAGGCTGGTAATTGTTGGCAAGCTTAGGTTCTGTGCTCTGTCTGCATAAATGAGGCCTCACGGTGGGTTCTGCACTGTTGGGTGTCAGCTGTGTTCCGCAGCTGGTGGTTAGATGATGGCCAGATCTGTGCTTTCCTTCTGGGTGGACTTGGGACACACTGGCTGGTGCAGTGAAGCCGACTTCTCCCGCGCATCCACGACCTCATATCTGCAGCTTTTAAGTGGGCGAAGCTGTGGTTTGACGACTTCTAGAACCAGAAAATGCAGCAAAGATGTTTCAGTCGCTGTCTTCCTGACTGAGGCCCCCTAGAATCGCATGTTGGATTCACCAGCTACGTTTGTGTCTTGTGGAGCTGATTTTCCTTCCAGACGAGCAACATCTGTGCTCTAGCTGGTGCTTCCAGGAAGCCTTTCTGATTCTCTTGGAAGGACCTGCTGGTAGAATGTTGAAGTGCATGTTCGAGTGATGTCCTCTGAAAGCTTCCTTTTAAACATTTTCTCCCTCTCTTGGTGGCCAATCACGTATAAAACGGCTCGTGTTTTTAGGTAAAAGGAAATCAGATTGGCCTTAGTTCTTTTTGCATGGACTAGGTCGTTCAGTATCTATGTTTGCACCACTGAACAGGCAGAGCGGTCACTGTCATGGTTAGGACCGGAAAGGACCTTGGGGGCCATCTGGTTGACCCCTCCCTTCCCAGGCGGTACACACAGCCTGCCTGTCATGGGGAGTGGGTGGCACAGCCGGCAGCAAACCCAGGCTTCCTGAGCCCTGACTTCTGTGTTCTCCCCCACCTCAGCCGCCCTGGGTTTCTCATTTTGTTTGGCAGGTGGGTTTTTGGCATTTGTTGATTTGCACATTTTGCTAAGTAGAAAATTACCACTGTGTATGTATGGATGATTGAGGCGGAGACAGAAGACCGCGTTTGCAGAAGTACTTGCTTGATGGAAACACTTGAAGTCAGCCTGAGCCCAGCAGTTCCTTTTTTTTTTTTTTAACTTTTATTTAATATAAATTTCCAAAGTACTGCTTATGGATTACAATGGCTCCCCCCCCCCCCATAACTTCCCTCCCACCTGCAACCCTCCCCTTTCCCTCTCCGTCCCCCCTTCCATTCACATCAAGATTCATTTCTCTTTATATACAGAAGATCAGTTTAGCATACATTAAGTAAAGATTTCAACATTTTGCACCCACATGGAAACACAAAGTGAAAAATACTGTTTGAGTACTAGTTATAGCATTAAATCAAAATGTACAGCACATTAAGGACAGAGATCCTACATGAGGAGTACACAGTGACTCCTGCTGTTGACTTAACAAATTGACACTCTTGTTTATGGCATCAGTAATCACCCTAGGCTCTTGTCATGAGTTGCCAAGGCTATGAAAGCCTTTTGAGTTCACCGACTCCAGCAGTTCCTTTTTGCTCATAACCGGAAGTGAAGTCTCTGTGTCACCAGGTGGCTCACAGCAAATGTCTTTGACCTTTCAGAGCAGAAGAGTCGATAAGCGAGGATGACAAGAGGAGGTAGGTTTGGCATCGCAGCCGCTTATAATTTCCGTAATTCTGGTCACACCTCGTGGACCTGACACACGGTAGCACGTGGCCAGCAGTGCAGCCTCCACCAGGAAAACTTTGGCTCAGAGAGCACAGGTAGGCACGTGTGATCTGGCAAAGAACTGGCCCAGATTTCCTAATCTTTGCTTCTTTCAGGCAGGCCGGGGCTTGGTCCTGTGCGTTTGGCCGGTGCCCTTTTCTGTTGTGTGGCCTTTGTGTGTGCTCTTTCTCTGTGGCTGGAGGACTTCCCTGGCTGCCCCAGCCCTCTCTGTCCTCCTCCTCCTCTTCCCCGTCCTCTGAGTGACTGCACTCGGATCTTGGGACTCTTCACACCCCTGGCCCTCGTTTTATATGAGGGCCTTTGAGAAAGGCAGTGGGGCCAGCAGTGTGGCACAGCGAGTTTAGCTGCCGCCTGCAATCCCACACTGGAGCACTGGGGTGAGTTCGAGCTGCTCTGCTTCCACTTCACTCCCTGCTGGTGTACCTGGGAGGGCAGCAGAAGGTGGCTCCGCACTTGGGCCGCTGCACCCATGTAGGAGACCTGGGTGGAGTTCTGGGCTCCTGGCTTCAGCCTGGCCCACACCTGGCTATTAAAATGATGCAGAGGTTTTGGAACCCATGCATATGCAGGGTGTTTAAATAGTCCATGGAAAATGTGTATTATGAAAAACTATAGATTTCAAATTTTGTATTTATATCTCCTTGTAGGTAAAATGATATTGTGTGCCCATAACACCTAATTCCATGCTGACCACTCTGAGTTCATAATGAATGAGGCTTGATGAACCATGACATGTCACTCTACTGCTATTTAGTGCTGTACCAAATTATAGCTTTCCAACTTCTGTTCTTTGTCATTGCAAGTAAAATATCTAAAAGTCCTTCTAACTCAATGTGACTTCATGTTTTTTCTTTTAAATAGCTTCTTTTTAATAGAAGAAAATAATTATATTTTCAGGGACAGTAATATTCTGAATTCTACTTCTGAAAAATTGGAGTGATTTTAGCAGTTACGTCATTGAAGTACTCTTTGGCTTTTTTTTTTTTGCTTCCTATGAATATATAGTACCACTTAAACTGGTCCAATTTCTTTTCTTAAAGAAACTACGGAGGCGTCTATGTTGGCCTACCATCTGAAGCTGTCAATATGGTGTCCAATCAGACAAAGACTGTACGAAAAAGTAAGTTAAATGGTGTTTATTCTAAGTGTTTATTTTCATGTTTTATGAAAAAACCAGAAAATTCTTATTTCAGCTTGTTTGACTCAACCTCCATGAGAGTTAGTTGCAGGGAGCCGTAAGTACTGTCTGTTCTTGTGCTCATTTGCTGAAAATACCACCCACGTATTAAGAGTAATTCCAGGGCAAAATTTAGCTCTTATTTGTGGTTGTGTACTCATAGGCACTTAAACTTTCTAAATTTCAGTGATCAGTGTGAAAATGCAAGCTGGCATTGAAGTCAGTTCATGGAGTTTTTGTAAAACATAAAGGTAAATTTCTCTGATATAGAAGCTGGCACCGCGGCTCACTAGGCTAATCCTCCGCCTTGCGGCGCCGGCACACCGGGTTCTAGTCCCGGTCGGGGCGCCGGTTCTGTCTCGGTTGCTCCTCTTCCAGTCCAGCTCTCTGCTGTGGCCCGGGAGTGCAGTGGAGGATGGCCCAAGTGCTTGGGTCCTGCACCCCATGGGAGACCAGGAGAAGCACCTGGCTTCTAGCTTTGGATCAGTGCGGTGCGTCTGGCTGCAGTGCGCAGGCCGCAGCAGCCATTGGAGGGTGAACCAACGGCAAAGGAAGACCTTTCTCTCTGTCTCTCTCACTGTCTACTCTGCCTGTCAAAAAAAATTAAAAAAAAAAAAAATTTCTCTGATATAGGAAGGCGACTAACTTTGATCTGGTGATAAAGGGAGAGAAAGTAAGGTTCCTTCTCAGCTTTTGTGTAGGGTCTTAAGTCAGGGTTTAAGTGGGGCTTACTATCAAGTATGCTGAATACGCTACGCCCTAACGATGGTAGCTCTCCATGACCGTTCTTACCGTGTTTACTTTGCACACAAGACTGTCTGGCACTGTAGGTAAGATACCATAATTATTATTATTATTATTATTATTATTATTATTTTTGACAGGCAGAGTGGACAGTGAGAGAGAGAGAGAGAGAAAGGTCTTCCTTTGCCGTTGGTTCACCCTCCAATGGCCGCCACGGCCAGTGCACTGCAGCCAGCGCACCGTGCTAATCCGAAGGCAGGAGCCAGGTGCTTCTCCTGGTCTCCCATGCAGGTGCAGGGCCCAAGGACTTGGGCCATCCTCCACTGCATTTCCGGGCCACAGCAGAGAGCTGGCCTGGAAGAGGAGCAACCGGGACAGAACTGGTGCCCCAACCAGGACTAGAACCCGGTGTACCGGCGCCGCAAGGCGGAGGATTAGCCTAGTGAGCCGCGGCGCCGGCCGATACCATAATTATTTGATCCTCTTTGCTGTTTCTCTACTTGATGATGTAAACTAGCAAATCCTTGTGTGTCACTGTTAGTAGTTCTGTTGGGAACTGGAGTGTGTTCCATATAATCTGAACACTCAACTCTTCTTAATTTTCTCTTTAAGATTAGAAGAACATAACACGGCCCAAGAATCAAGAGGTATTGTCTATTTTTCTAAATAGTTCTCTGTGTTCAGCCTTGATGATGCATGAGCTGCAGCTGTCACTGTTACTTGTTTCTAAGAAATCCTAAACTTGAGGGTCAGAGGGAGGCGTCTCAGCCCATGGAACTGAGTGTGTTTCACTGTGAAGAGGTTAGGGATCAGGACAGTTTTCTTTCAAACTACTTTTGTTTGTGGTGCAACTTAATGTATTGAATAAGAGCAAGTACAGCATCGACCTAACACTCTGAGGTCTCCGCCCTTCCCTGCTGTCAGCACTTAGAGGGCCTTGTGTTGACAAATGACAGACAAGGAGGGCTCATTAGGTTAGGACTAACATCAAGTGTATGGCAGAGCCAGAGGTGAGTTCATGTTCAGGGAGGCGGTGTCTGAGTCTCAGCACTCCAGCAGGGACAGGCGGTCGTCACTGTCCTGACCTGCAGGAGGGGAGGGATCCAGACCAGGTTTGCAGGTGGGCAGAAGAAGCCGTTCTCAAAGACGAGTCCTGGTGAGGCGCTTGGAGTTGGAATTAAACCGAGCCACACAGGGAGAAGGACAAGAGAAGAGTCACACTTGGTTGCTAAGTACCTTCTGTGTGCCAGTGTCTTAAAGCAATGGGGCAGCATTTCCACAGGGGCAGAATCCCAGTTCCCCTGGCCCAACGCACGCTCAGTGCTTGGACCCCATTGTGTTTCGGCCTTGCGAAGTGACACCCAGCCACTTTGCCACCTTAGCCGTCAGGAGGCCCCCATCTCCTGGGGTAGCCCCGTAGCTTCTGGGACTTTGTGAAACCAGTTGAGAAATGATTTTGGAATCCATTCAGATGATTAAAATTTTAATAATCCGGAAGTGCAGTGTCCTCTGTAGGTGGCTCTCGGCCGGGCCCCTTCAGATGTGTGAGTGCTTCCAGCACAGGTCCTCAAGTGCCAGCACGCAGACCCCTGGCAGGTGGATGGCCCGACTCCCGCAGCTGGTTCTGACCAGGTCTGGGAGGCGTGGGGCTGTGCCCAGCCAGTCTGCATTATTAATATGGGTGAAACTGGTGTATATGCAGGTAGGCTTATCATGTTGTGTTTTAACTGTTGAGTTTCTAAGTCTTTTTTTTTCCCATCCACTTTGTCTCTTTATATGAATATCATCACCAGTGCTCAGCGTTGCAGCTGCCTCAGGATGAGTCTTGAATCAGTGTATTTGGGTGGACGTTGAGTGTGTGATTTACTAAGAATCAGTGACTACTAGGTAGGCTCCAGGCTGCCGGATTTGTATCTAAGTTGCACCTTACAAGTTTGCTAACTCCGTTTCTCCTTCTCTGTTTGTTGTCTCTGCAGCTTGCTCATCCATTTGGAAGGAATTTGGCTCTGACATTGTGATGTGTGCAGATGTTTCCCAGGAAACTATGGACTGTCTCCCTCAGTTCCCCTCCTGCCCCCCCTCGCCCCCCCCAACTCTTAGGTGCATGGCTAGGATGGCAGGTGCAGGCTGAGGGCTGTGGTAACAGCGAGGAATTGATTAGATAGTACACCCGTTGATGGAGCTCCCTGTGGCCCACCTGCGAGAATCCCGGGAGGTGGCTGCGTGCCCCCGGGCCACCATGCCCCGCCCACTGCATGTCCCCCTCGGCCACCCAGCACAGTTCATAGAACTCATGTCTTTTCAGATACTTTTTTGATAGTTTTTTTATATAATGAAATCCTTATTCTGTTTATAACTTAAAATAATAAGCCACTATAAATGAATTCCTTAAAGTAATATATTTGTTCTCTTTCACTATTTCTACTTCTCATTACTTTTTAGCTATAAAATTGGTAAACTGATTCTTATTAATCCCTCCCTCTTTTTTACTATTTGGTTTTCAAATTTTATTTAAATGTCAAAGAAATTCCTTTATTAGGAACAATATTTTACATGGAAGTAGTCAAAGGAAAGCTACTTAAATTCGCATGCCGTGTGCACATGTTGATTAAATGCCTGTTTTCTGTAGTCAGGCTGCTTCATGGACGTCAGTCTCCCGTTCCACCTTGGTGTGACTGTGACAGCTTTCAAGGCCCTGTGGATTGGTGATCCGTGGGCTGTCTGGGAAGTCCTTAATTTGATAATGTTGCGTGTATCTACTCAGTACTGCAGTGTAAATCGCTGTGTTCACCAGTGTATTTCAACAATTAAAACATTTTTAGCCCTCTTTACCTGGATTTCTCAATTATTTTTCAGAAAAAAACCCAGTTTCTTAAAAGACTTATTTATTTGAAAAGCAGAGCTGTCAGAGGCAGAGACAAAGAGAAAGATCTTCCATTTGCTGTTTCATTATCCAAGCGGTCACAACAGCCACACCTGGGCCAGGCTGAAGCCAGGAGTCAGGAACTCTGTCCGTGTCTCCCTCATGGGTGGTGGGACCCTAAGCACTTGGACCATCTTCCACTGCCTTCCCAGGTACTTTAGCAGGGAGCTGGATTGGAAGCAGAGAGGAACCAAGCATTCCCACAGGGGGTGCCAACGCCCCATGCAGCAGCTTAACCTGTAGCGAGTGCTGCATTGCCAGCCCTCAAAAGGGCACTTTTTTTTTTTTTTTTTTTTGACAGAGTGGACAGTGAGAAGAGAGACAGAGAGAAAGGTCTTCCTTTGCCGTTGGTTCACCCTCCAATGGCCTCCGTGGCTGGTGTGCTGTGGCCGGCGCACTGCGCTGATCCGATGGCAGGAGCCAGGTGCTTCTCCTGGTCTCCCATGGGGTGCAGGGCCCAAGCACTTGGGCCATCCTCCACTGCACTCCCTGGTCACAGCAGAGAGCTGGCCTGGAAGAGGGGCAACCGGAACAGAATCCAGCACCCCGACCGGGACTCGAACCTAGTGTGCTGGCACCGCAAGGCGGAGGATTAGCCTAGTGAGCCGCGGCGCCGGCCCGAAAGAGCACTTTCAAGAGTCACATGTGGCATTGTGATCCATGGATACACTATACAAATACATAGAGATAATTCATACATAGATTACCATGGAAAACATTCTCATATATTAGGTCCATATGACAGCCGTAGGGACATCAAATTAATAAAAAAAATCAAAGATTTAAGACTAAGAAGTTTCCACGATATCTACACTCCTGTCTGCTGTCCCCCAGTGCATAACTGCATTTAAGTGGAACGTGAGCGTTTGCCCCTTAAGATTGGCTTTGTTTAGATTGAAGATGTTTAATTTTGAACCAATTTTAGATTTCTAGAAGAGGGTGAGGATTGTACAGAGAGCTCCTGTTTGCTCTTAACCCAACTCCCCTAATGTTACTCTTGCATGAATAGTGTGTTTTTCAAAGGTTAGAAGTTAGACAAAGGCACAGCACTTGAAACTACACCCTTAAATTCGATTCCATTAATTTTTTCTCTGATTTCCTTTGTTTGCTTCCAAAATCAAATCTAAGACTCCACTGGCCATCCTGCTCCATTAATTGTTCCATTTGGCCATCCTGTCTCCTATTTACTTATTCAGTCATTTTTCTCTATTGATACGAACTTACAAGTGTTTATTTTGTTCTGTAGGTTATAATCTAATACTGTCACAGTTGCTGAAATTATTCCAGGTTTGTCCATTGGGAAATTTTCATGTTGGATTATAACATGTCACCATCATGACTTTTTAACAGAGAGCAGGCCTATAAAAAATTTCAACTCAATAGTTAAAACACATCCCTAGAATTCCATCAAATTTCATTATAAATGAAGAGTGTTTCCCATATTATGACAAGTCTTAACATTTTCCTTCAACCAGACATGATTTAAATTTAGAATCCTGCGATGCTTAGATGTTAATAATACTTGCTACCCACTTACCTGTGTCTGGAGGCTAAAGATGATCATCTTTCATAAGTACTGCAAGAATCTTGAGTGAAAGACTCAAAGAATAATAACCGTTCACATGAGAGGCTTCAACAGCACTGTGAGAGATTGGTAAAGCCTTCAAAACGCCTGAAATTTAAGAGTTAATACCTTTTCAAACAACACATTCTGTTCCTTTGCAAGGTTATTGTTAAAAATACAATGGAGATGTGAGTTTAATAGAATTCCTGATTAGTGGAATTGTGTGATGATAAAAGATTCTCTTAGGAAACCTTCTAAGGCGGGAGGGAGATAACTTGCCCCTAAGCCTCAGAGCTGAGCTTTGAGAAGCTACCCCCAACTCTGGCCTGTGGAAATCTGCTTCTAACTAGTATAAGTACCCTGGGGTGTTGCTGAACATTGCTGTCCTGCTCAGCGGAGTCTTCAAAGGGAATTGGACTGGCTTTGGGGAGGGAACCGAAATGATAGATGATGCTGTTAGTACAATGGGGAGCTGCCTTTCTGGGGTTTCTGAACGGGCAAGAGTTTGAAGAGGAGAATCCAGGCTGCCTTGTGAATGGGGAGCTACGGGTAGCAGTGGTATATCCGTGCCCAGCGCTGGGAAAAATTACAGGAGTGAACTCACTTCCAGGAAAGTCGTTCTCGTACTACGTGTACTCGATGCACCTGATTAATCCAAGCAGGGCCAGATGGTGAGGTGCTTTTCCGTAGTGTGTGTGCTAATCCCGTTTCTGCCGTTCAGTCACCAAACCAACAGGGGCTGAGTTCTTGCTGCCACCGCGATGAGCACTGGTTACTCAGGGTTCAGCTGGAAAAGACCCAGGCAGTGATAGAGACGTAGTAGCCTGTAATGAACTTGGAACACAGTGGCCGAGAGGGCGTGGCACACAGAGCAGGGACACCCAGGTCTGAATGCCAGGTGCGCAGTGACTCTGGGGTGCGGTCCCCCGTGCAGAGCTGTGGGGAGAGTGACAGTTTGCTCCCGGTAAGTGGGAGAAGGAAAGGCATTGTGGCCGAGAACTGCAGGCACAAAGGCACGGAGCCCTGCAGGCCGTGGTGCAACCCGGGACCTGGTGGACATTGTACCTGGCAGGTGGAGTGATGGGAATGGTGGAGGGTGGGGGAGTGGGCTTTTGAGGGGTCTTGTGGGCCGTGCTGGCACTTCTCCTAGAGGCTGGGGTGTGAAGCTCAGGTGCTGAGAGAGGTCCCTCCTCCTCTCCCAGGAGCTCGCAGAGCATTGGTTTTACTGTCTCTTCCGGCACCTGCTCTGCAGGTTTCTCTCTGGAGGTGTGACTAATCCTTGCAGTTCTGTTTGGTGAAGGTGCAGTTTTGATACAAAATACAGGGCTAGCGTTCGGGCACAGCAGGTGCAGCCGCTGCCTGGGACGCCTGCATCCCACACTAGGGAGCCTGGTTCGAGTCTTGGCAGCTCTGCACTTTTCCACCCAGCTCCCTGTGCCGCTGCACCTGCGAGGCACCCGACGGGAGACCCCAGGACTCTGTTTCCTGCCACCCACGTGGGAGACCTGATGGAGTTCCTGGATCCTGGTTTCAGCCTGGCCCAGCCCTGGCTACTGCAGGCCTCTGGGACGTAGATGGAAGGTCTATCCCTCTCCCTCTCTCTCACTCTGCCTTTCAGATAAATCTTTATAGAACGTACTTGGAGTTTTCAGACACAGTGCTCGTGGCTGGATGTAGCCAGACAGTGAGGGTGTCAGGAACATTCCATTAGGGGAGAGCCAGGCTTTGGCTTAGTAATGAGCTAATTAGGTTGCAGGGATGTCGGAGCCACCCCACTGTGTCACATTTTTCTCCCACTTCTTTTTCAATTAATGTCTTTTCCTCATTCTCAAAATATTTAATATTAAAGAACCCAGGCTCCCTCGAAGGCAGGGGCCTGGTATACTCTTTCCGTTCTTCTTACAGTGGAGCCCCTGGAACCCACTGTGAAGAGATGGCCTTTGGTTGGTGTGGAAGGGACACCGTTTGTCTTCCAGAGAGAGAAAGACTGGTGGGGCAGCCTCTCGGTCTCCTCTCTCTCTCTCTAGAGCCGTCATCTCTCTGGGACAGTTGTTAGGGCCTTTGGGTGTCAGTTGACTTTTCTGTGTCTTGAAAAATTTCAGCCAATGGGACGCAATGAATTCTGATTCTTCCCCAGGCTTGTTAGCAGAAGCCAGCCATTCATGGATTCGTGCATCGTTGGTTATGTCCCGGGTGTCTGTTCCACGCCAGGCCTTGTTCTAGGCCCTGGAGCAGTGAACAAGGCAGAGGGAAGTCCCTGACGTGATGGGCCCAGTGTTCATTATGGGGATGGACACAGGGAGTGAATATTGCGATTTCAGCAGCTCTCAGGAGGTCCCAGCAAAGAGGGAAGAAAGAGCTGGTTGGAACGGGGAGCATTGTGACCGGTGATGAGGGAGTTGTTCATTGCAAGGTAAGACTCTGCAGGGGAAGTAACCACCCGTGTCGATCTGTAGTGGAAGTCACTCTGAGGACGAGGGACAGGTTACGTATGTGTGTCATATTTGAAGAAGAGCAGACAGTTCAGGGTGGCAGAGATTGCAAACGGGGCCGCCACTAAATGGTGTATCAAATTAAGCTGTTGCCTGCGACAGCAGCATCTCATATTGGAGCGTGGGTTCGAGTCCTGGCTGATCCGCTTCCAATCCAGCTCCTGGCTAATGCACCTGGGAAAGCAGCAGAAGATGGCCCAAATGCTTGGGCCCCTGCCACCCATGTGGGAGACCTGGATGGAGCTATAGGGTGGTGGCTTTGGCCTGGCCCAGCCGGTTAGGGGAGTAAATATTAAAAAGGAAAAAGATCACAAATGGAAGAGGGATAGGTGACGTCAGAGGTTGGCTGGAGGGGCACCAGGTCCAGTGCAGGGCGGTGGCTCCGGCCGTGAGGGGGACGCCTTGACTGGCATGGAGCAGGGGAGGCGGCTCGCTGGCTGCAGTGCGGGTGTGGTGAGGCTGGAAGCGGGGAGGTGGTCCGAGTAGCCGAGCAGGGCCGTGATGGCCGCCTGGGCAGGGCAGTGGCACTGGAAGCAGTCAGCTTCGGGATGGAGTTTGAAGATGCAGTGGATGGAATAGAAACGAGGAGCACTCCGGGATGGTGACCGAGCAGCCGGGAGAACGGGGGTGCCATCTGCCGAGGCGGGGAGCACGCGGAGGAGCAGGGTTTGGGTGTCACAGGTGATTTGGATGCAAGGGCGAGGGTGCCTCTTGGAGCTCCCTGGGCAGCCCTAGCATGAGCAGGCGCCGTGTCGGGGGAGAGATCAGGGCTGAAGGCGCAGGCTTGCTGTAGGCCGCGGGGTCTCCAGCAGGGGTGTGGATAGGAAAGAGATTCGAGGGCTCAGCCCAGCC